GATTGCAACATAGCCCAGTAGATGCAATACCCAGTCTCCCACAGTTGACAGCAGAGTTTGTTATTCACAGTCCTGATGTGAGTCCTCTAAATAGACCCCTAATTTTTTCCTCCTTTCTGCACAATGAAATTGTTAAAATGGAAGAGTTATACTCCAGTGAAAGAAATGCAAGTGTAAAATGCATCTCAGCACTGTGAACTGCAGTTAGTGGTGGTGAGCTCCCCTTGATCCAGATTCAAAAAGAGCCCTTTGAATTCATCAGGAGGGGTAAATAAAGGCACAGAAGGTGTCTCTGCTCTTCCAGGTCTCTCTCTGTAACTTGGTCTCTAAGCACCCACGAGCAAGAAATATAAGAAAATAAGAAGTCAGCAGTTTCACTACCTTTTAGTCAGCAGTCAGTTCATAGTTTTGGCTTCTTCTCTCCTTTGGGGAAAGAAGGCTTATGAGGGAAATTAATCAGCTTTTTTTCATGCACTTTCATAGCCTCAAGCTTGAAAACATAAGGAAGAACACAGTAATATGGAGAAATTGTAGAATATCGCCTTTGTGGCTTTCAGCAGTAATCATAACATCTCTGTCTCTTGCAATTTTGTTTAACAAGGATGAAAATTGCAAAAGTCAGCGTGTTTTCCCTACAACTGCACTCCACACCATGCACAATTGCTTCCTTTCCATCTCCAAGCCTGGAAGAGACAGGGATGCTGAGCACCAAAGCTCCTTTTCTTAGAACTTGTTGGGACATTGTGCTTCTTGGGGGAGCCTGTGTAACACCAAAGGAAACAGAAAGGACACTGTCTTTATCCAACCCCCCCTGCAGTGATTAAAAAAACAACATTTTGATAAAATATTTTGATAGATGTTTTAATGAATGATGAGATTTTAAAAATAAGCCATTCCTGGTTGTCACTGATGACAAGGAGATGGCTCACAGCTGGGTTTAAGGATATTGTTCAGAATCTGAAAAGCACCAAGAAGACTGTCAGAGCAAGGCTGGTTTCAACATGATCCCATAAAACAGTCCCAGAGACCTGAATCACCAGATCCTTAATATAACTCTTAATATAATATTATATGTGTATAATATTATGTATATTACAATACTAAATTATAATAACTTCATATAACTTAATATATTGATATAATAGGATTTTGCAGTAACCCACCACCATTCTGAAGAAGAGTCTCTGTTTTCAGGAGGCATTACACTGCTCTATCTGCGCCACTCACATCCTTTGAGGAGGAGAAACACTATGAATAGATTAGGATTAATAAAAAATAATCGAGAAAAATGGCACTAAATCACTGGCCTTGCCAGTAACCCATTCAAGAAATTCTGAGGGCACAAAGAGCAGCTCTCTAACTCTGCACCGTCCCATAAGGATCCCATAAGGGCAGCCTGAATGGCAATAAGCATGCGGTGAAAGATTTTCTTTTCAGCATTTTCATGCAGTGAAAATATTAAGTATTAATTTTACCATTAATATCTGAGGTCTGAGAACTTTCTCCTGCTGAGAAAGCGAGCTTGGAATCCAACATGTCTGCTGGTTTCCCTGGCAATGGGCAGGGAAATCAGCTATTTCTTCCAAACACGAAGGTCTGGAAGCTGAGCAAAGCTTGTAAATAACTTTCATTCCTCAAGGCACATTTTTTCCAAAAAGCAGCTTTCCAAAAGGGATGATTGTATCCCTGCCTGCCTCACCTCATGGAGAGACAAAGAAAAGTGGATGCTTTGTCTTTGCCCAGAGGTCTGGTCTTTGACTGGGAACATTCAGGGAGCGGAACTCTCTGTGGGTGATTTTGGGAACACTTAAAAGCTTGAATTTATGTTGCACTGTGTCTTGGTAATGCTGTGGTCCTCCCAGCTGTAGCTCTCCACCTGATCTATCCCAGTTTTATTCCTATCTTCTTTCTGCTATTACAGCCCACCCTAAAACAGGAACCCTAGAGCTGAGTCTAGGGGTCCGTGAGGCTTTCCCTATCCTGGCCCCATAAGGTCAGTGCTGCTTTCACCATTTACAACCATTCCAACTTGCAGCTGGTGCCAGGTGTTCTTGCACAGTTGCACTCCCCCAGAGGTCCTCAGGACCCTCCTTTGGATCACGTGGGGCACATCCATCCCTTGTGGAGCTCTCCTTTAATCCTGCAGCTCTGCAGCCCGGCTGCATCACCCCCTCTTACTCCTCTTTGCACATAAGGGAGCAAATCCCAGCGAAAGGAACTGATCAGCACAATCTAGGAGGTGGCTCAAGGAATCATCACCTGCAGCATCCTGCACCTCTGTTGCTTGTAGCATCAGCAGCCTCCTGCTGGTTCCGCCTCAGTGGCTGAGGAGCAGTAGGTCGCATCTTTGTGCTTGACATTCTTGTGTATTTTGCTTGGCACTCACATTCATGCAGATCATAGAATGGCTTAGGTTGGAAGGGACCTCAAGAACCATCAAGCTCCAACCCCCCTGCTGCAAGTAGGGCCGCTAACCTCCATATTTGATACTAGACCAGGCTGGTCAGGGCCCCATTCAACCCAGGTCATAGATCTCTTTTGGTAGGTCTGTCTTTGTGCTGCAGACTCCTCCATGCAATACTTGTTGCAAACATTCCCTTGCCCACTGAATGTCACTTCCCATGCAGGCTGCAGCATGATGAGCCATGATGCTCAGGGGAGATTCTGCACCTGCAAAGCCAAGCTGCATGGGATGAACTCAGAAACAGATTGCAGGAATCCACCCCATCCCTTTGGTTGCAGGTGGTTTGTGGGCACCTCACCGGGATTTGGGCACTGAAAGTTGCAGAGGTGAAATCTCAGCCTGTGAAGCCTCAAATTAATAAGCTTTTCTGCAGGATGAGAGATTTTCCTGCAGCCTGGCGCCGCTGCCTGCAGGCCCAGAGCCCTCAGGCTGTGATTTAGGAGAGGCAGGTGTAAATGAAAAGCATCCGCACGCATTTCGGCTACCGATCTCAGGCGCCTGGCGTGCAGCCCAGCTGCTGGGCTCTGCCTCCGCGTCCCTGTGCCTCCTCTGTCCCCTTCCTTCATAGAATTGTGGAATGGCTTTTGTTAGAAAGGACAGTAAATATCACAGAATGGCTTGAGTCGGAAGGGATCTTGAAGGTAATGGGATTATGCAAAGGTTTATATTGGAAGGAACATTAAAGATCATAGAACCGTAAAATAGCTTGGGTTGGAGGGGACCTTAAAAGCCCATTCAATTCCAACCCCCCTTCCATGGGCAGGGTTGCCACCCACTAGATGAGGCTGCCCAGGGCGCCGTCCAATGTGGCCTTGAACACCTCCAGGAATGGGACACCCACAGCTTCTCTGGGCAACCTGTGCCATTGCCTCACCACCCTCTGACTTTAAAAAAAAAAAAAAAAACTTCCTAATATATTGCCTAAATTTTCCCTTTTATTTTAAAATCAATCCTCTTTGTCCTGCCACTGTCTTGTGGGAAAACAGCTATAAAAAAAGGCAAAACACAGAGAGTTTTATTAAGCTTCAGCATTTCAGCTGATTTCCAGCTCCCCTTCCACTGTGCAACAGTGTTCTTCTTGCTTAGCCTGAGATCATAAAGCTTAGTCATGGAATTCTAGCCATAGAATCACAGAGATGATGGAAAAGTTTGGGTTGGAAGAGACCTTAAAGACCATCCAGTTCTAAGCCCATTCATGGGCATGGACACCTCCCTAGGTTTCCCAAAGCCTTATCCATACTGGCCTTGAGAAATTCCATGGAAGGGGCATCTACAATTCCTCTGGACAACCTGTTCCAGTGCCTCATCACCCTCATCCCAAAAACTTTCTTCTTAATATCTAACCTAAATCTCACCTCTTTCCATTCAAAGCCATTACCCCTTGTCCCATCACTGTATTCCCTGGTAAAGGAGTGCTAAGAACATCTTAATCCCTTCAGGACCCTGAAGTCCATTCACATGCCAGCATCTTCCACATGCAGAGCCAATCCAATATGCTCTCCCTCTGTCTCTTTTGTATATCCACATCCCATCCTCTCAGTGCAAATTTTCCACCTTTGGCAGAGCCATGAATTGTTCAGAGGGAGCTGTATTCCAGGTTGATCTCTCCCTCAAGCACTAGGAATTTGCCCCACAGCTCTTCCCAACCTATCTGTGTGCCTGGAGTGCTTACATTTGTCTCCTCACCTCATTAATCCCAAGGAAATCCTTTGGCATCTTAACTAATCACAGCAGGCTGACATCCTCCTCACACACGTATGAAAGGAGTGAATGTCAGATCCATTTCTGGGTTCCCCTGCAGAACTGATGAGCAGTTTTACCACCCACCTCCACCAAGCTGTTGCACCAGCCTTAACAATTTTGACTGACTGCTCTCCTCCCATTTCTCTGTGTCCTGTTGGCTGCTCTTTACTTGGCTTTCTCTTGCTCATTTGTTGCTCGGGTGCTTTGCCATTGTATGTGTTAATAGGGTGCAAAGTGTGGGGTTGGGGTCCCTGACCTCTTCCAAATACAGCCTGAGGTGTTTCTTCTCCTCCTCCTGCCACAGCATGCTCTTGGTTTGGCTTCCTGCCCCTGATGTTCTCACCCAGGGGACCAAGTGGAGTCCAAGGCTTCCATCCCAGCCCACAAGAAACACAGAATCATAGAATGGCTTGGCTAGGAAGGGACCTTAAAGCCCATCTACTTCCAACTCCCTGCCACAAGCTGATTGCCATCCAGGTTGCCCAGGAATCCAACAGGCCTTGAGCACCTCTAAGGATAGAGTAACTGCAGCTTCTGTGTGCAACCTGTTCCAACACCTCACCACCCTCTGAGCAAAGAAATTCCTCCTAACTTCTAACTTAAATCTTCCCTCTTTAGTTAAATATCATTCTCCCTTGTCCTATCACAATCAGACTGTGCAAAAAGTCATTCCCTCTCCTGTTTATAAGCTCCCTTGAAGTACTGGAAGGTTGCAATGAGATCTCCCTGGAGTCTTCTCCAGACTGAACAAGCCCAATTCTCTCAGCCTCTTTCCTTAGAAGAGATGCTCCAGCCCTCCGGGCATCCTTGTGGCCTCCTTTGGATCTTCTCCACGTGCATTTGGATCCAGCTCCACTTCCATTCTGTGCTGCATTCCAAGAAGAAGAAGAAGACCCACACCCCAAGGACACCTCCATGCCATGTTGGAAATGCCAGCTAGTGGCACAGGGCCATGGCGCTGGCGGGTGTTGTGGGCACGCTGTTCCCCTCCCCATAACTGCTGTCACCGCACTCCCCATCATCCCCTGAACCCCTAGCAAGGGGTGACTGAGGGCCACCATCCACCACTCCGTGTGAATCACCATCCCCCCCTCCACGTCCATCACCATCCACCGCCCCCGGCCCATCAGCGCCATCAGTCCTATCCCTGCTGCTGGGTGCTGTCAGCCAGGGCACGGCCAGGTACTTGTGCACCTCGATGGCTGGGCTGCGGCGGTCAGGGTCGAGCCGCAGCAGGCGCTGCAGCATCTCCTGTGCCCCACACTCAAAGCCACCCCAAGACTTTGGTGCCTCCCGTCCCACCGTGTCACCCTGCCATGCGCTGAAGGCTTCAAACTGGGGGTCAGGGCTGGCAGCTACAGCCCAAGGGAAGCAGCCAGTGCAGAGGCAGAAGAGCAGCACAGCGAAAGCCCAAACATCCAGGCTGGAGTCCAGCTCCAGTGTGTCAGAGCCCTGCAGCAAGCAGAGCTCCGGCGGAGCGTAGGGCAGCGCGCCAGACATGGCACCAATTTCCGAACCCTGCAGGCGGGTGAGCCCAAAGTCAGCCAGCTTCACACGGTGGCACTCGTGGTCGAAGAGCAGCACGTTGTCCAGCTTGACATCCCGGTGCACCAGGGCCCGGCTGTGCATGAAATCCAGTGCCTCGGCCAGCTGAGAGGCACAGCGCTTTACCAGCACCTCAGGCAGGCCCTCCTGGGAAAGGCAGCAATGTCACCAGCATGGGACACACTCCATAGCAGCCCCCAGAGGTACCCCTGCACCACAAAGGGGCTCCTGGTGCGCCACATGAGATTGCACTCCACTGCAAAGGGTGTCCATGCAACACTCTGCATGCACTGCGTGTTCCCATGCAAAATGTGGGCATGCACCATACTGAAAAATACGTGGCTGTGGAACCCACTGCAAAGGATCTCCTCAGGAATACCAGAGGCATGCACACTGCTGCAAAGGGTGTCCCCGTGCACTGCATGAGCATCTGCCCCATTGCAGAAGGCCTCCCCGTGAACGCCATAGATACACACCCCACTGCAAACGATGTCCCCATGCATCACACAAACATGCTCCCTATGGTAAAGAGCCCCCCCATGCACACAATTTCATACCACCGCAAGGTCCGCTTTGCTCCCCACCCCCTCCCTGTACCCACTGCAACACCCTCCCAGCCCCTTCTCCTCCCCAGCACACTGTTGTGCCCCCCAGCCCTGAGGCACACACACCCCTGGTGTGAGAAGGTTGCACAAGTCCCCAGCGGGAGCCAGCTCCTGCCCAAAGGCAAAATGCGTGGAGTTCTCAAAGGCAAGGGGGAGGGCATGGATGCAGGCAGCGTGACCAGAAAGGCACCGGGCTATGCAATACTCCCGCAGGAAAGCCCTTCGTTCTGTCCGTTCCTTCAGCATCAGCTTGAGGACCACTGGCGAGCCTGGGATGCAGGGAGAGGGTCAGCACCAAGGTTTCGGGACCACGTACATCATGAACATGCAACTCCAATGCAAAGGATGTCCCCATTCACATCACAAGCATGCAACCCCGCTGTGAAATGTGTTCCCACACACATGGTGAGCATGCAACTCCAATGCAAAAGATGTCCTCATGCACTACACAAGCATGAGGTGCAGCATTGGGGCAAAGACCCCACAGCTGCTCACCACCATCCCGGGGCTCAGTGAGCACCACATGGCCATAGGTTCCGCTGCCCAGCTCGCCCAGCACGCAGAACTGCTCCTCCAGCTCCTGCCACTGCAGTGCCCGGCCTGCCTGCACCATTAGCTGCTCCAAAGCTGCCGCATTGTCCTCCTCATCCTCCTCCGGCTCTGCCATGGCCCTGCAGAGACCAACACCATGCTGCAATGGCCCCAGGGCATGCAGAGGGAGTACCCAGATGGCACTGCCCAGTGCACACCAGTTTGGCCCAGCCTAGTGCAGCTCAGACCAATCTTGTCTAAAACAGCCCAGTCCAGCCCAGTTGAGCCCATTCAGCTCAGCGTTGTCCAGTTCATCCCACCTGAGCCCAATTCAGCTTAGTCTAACTCAGATCAGTGCACCCCAGCCCAGTCCAATCCCCGTCCAGATGTAGGGAGCATCCCAAAGGGGAACAAGCAGAGTTGTGACACTGCCCCATATCAGCCCCACATCTCACCCCATGTCACCGCATGGCAGTGGGTCAGCTCTGCCACTTCCACGTTCCTCCATCCCCAGCTGTGCAGCAGGATCTTTGACCTACTGCCACTACCAGATATATGGGACAGCAACAAGAGCCCTGTGCTCCCCTATAGCCCTGCTGCAGGGCTGTAAGGAAGCCACAAGCAAAACACAGGTCGGGGTTGCACAGGGACAAGCAAGCAGCCTCACCTGAGTCCCTGAAGTGTCCCTGCAGCACAGCTTTGTGCCACCAGCCCCACGGCGCCCGTGGCCGTGACTCAGATTTTCCTGCGCACTCCGACACCGCCGGACCCAGGGCAGCGCTGGGCCGTGTTAATCTGTCCCAATGGATTGGGAACATGTGCAAGGCACAAGGCGTGCCGAGAGCCAAAGATAGGAAGGGGCAGGACAGACAGGGCACGGTGTGTGGACAGACAGACAGGATGCAAAAAGAGATAGAGCATTGCACGGGGACAGAGAGAGAGCATGAGATGCAAAGAGAGCAAGGGCACTGTGTGGGGACAGACGGAGAGCATGCAGCATGGGACAGACAAACAGACAGCCAGAGCATGAAACAGCATGGAGTGAAAATTTAGCTTCTCCTAAGTCCACAGATAAGGAGGTTGTGTGTCCCAGTGTTCTAAAGGTTAAAGAAAGGCTAATTAGATTAAACTCAATATTATTAAACATTGGATTACCTTTATTAATACTGATCATTGTTCTGTAAGTTTTAGTGATTTAGTCAGGCTCAGGGTGAGGGGAACACAAAGGATGCATCTGCGTGTTCCCCCTTATTCTGCTCTTAGTGTGGGCTGCCTGGTGTCCCAAAATCAAACTTGCCCCTGCTCCACGAAAAAGTGTGGGGCTGCACCAAAAGACGTGGGGCTGCACCGTCTGCTTCAGAGCCCATTTCTGTCTCTCCCCCTTTTCCAACATCCATTTTTCCCCCTCGAATTCCCACACTTTCCTCCCTCACCTCCCTGTTTCCCACCACCACATCTTTCCAGTTGCCACGACCACATCCCTCTCCCCAAATTTACACATCCTCATGTCTCTCTCTCCCCCTTTTCCCATCCCTATATCCTTCCTTCTTCTCACTTCCCCCATCCACACCCTTCTCTCCCCACTTCCCCATATCCTTATACCTCCCTTTTCCCTCTTTTCCACATCCATATCCCTCTATCTTTTCTCTATCATATCCTTTCCTCTTCCTCGTTTCCCATATCCCTATACCTCCTTCTTCCAGTCTTCCATATCCCCCATCTCTCATTTCCCACAGCCCCAGTTCTTACATCCATACTTTTCCCTCTCCGTTTTCCCACATCCTTGTATCACCCTTTTCCCTTTTTTTCAACACTCATTTACCTTCTTCACCCTCTTTTTCCATATCCCTATGCTTCCCTTTCCCCATTTCCATATCCACATTCCTCCCTTTTCCCATGCCCATATCTCTTTGCCTCCCTTTTCTTGCATCCATACCCTTCCCTTTTCCCTATTTCCCACAGCCCCATCTCTCTCTCTCTCCCCTTTTCCCCACATCCTTATGCCTTCCCTCTCCCCACTTTCCATAACCCCTCTCTCTACCATTTTCCACAGTCCTATCTCTTCCTCTCCCCCTATCCCATGGGCATATCCCTCCTCCTCCCCACTTTCCACACCCATATCTCTCCTCCTTTTCTCTTTTCCTACATCCTTATGCCCTCCTCTTCCATTTCCCATATCCACATCTCTCTCCCACCCCTTTTCTTTCATCCTTTCCCATGCCCACATCCTTTCCTCTCCTTTTAATCCTGTGGTAGTGGAAGTGGAACTAGATGGGCTTTACAGTCCATTCTGTGCCATTTCATGATTCCTCACATCCTTATCTTTCCCATCCCTATATCCTTCCTTCCTTCCCACAGTGTCATCCCTCCTCTTCCCATTTCCCATGACCATGCCCTACTCTTTCCCCATTTCCTATGCCCTTTCCTCACATCCTTATCCCTCCCTCTTCCCTATTTCCCACTGTGCCATCTCTCCCTCTCCTTTTTCCCACAGCCATATTCCTGCCTCTCCTCAGTTCCCATGACCGTATCTCTCTCCCCTCCCTTCCTTCAACTTTTTGCCACTCTCTCCCCTTTTCCCACACCCTCTTTTTCCCAAGACCACATCCCAGCCCATTTCCCACAGCCCCATCCTTCCCTCTCTCCCCATAGCTGTTCCCTCTCCCTCCCCACCTGCTCTTTCCCCTATCCCAGCTGCTTGCCCTGACCCCAGCTGTCTGGGCCATAATTAACCCCTGACACATAATTAACACCTGACAGCACATTAGCAGGCCCTGCTGGCACCTGGAAAGGTCACTGAGCTGCACCTCTCACCCTGTCCTCTCCAATCCCATTACAGAGAGCAGATGCTGATGGTGGGGGTGTCCCCTTGCTATGGGGCAGCGGGTGTGGGGCTGACTGCTCCGTCACCATCCTGCCCCATTGAAAAGCATCAACAGAGTCCAAAGCAGGGACGAGGCCTAGCGCCAACTGCATGGCATCCAGCCCTGCGGGGGTGGCTGGGGGCGGGGGCACCGACAGCTGCTGGGACACAGAAATAGCCAGGGCCAGGTGGCAGAGCTCAGCCTTGGGGATGCAGCCAGGACCTGGTCCTGTGCCGAGTCTCAGTAGTTGAGGCCAGCCCAGTGCCCCTGGGCTTGACCCCCACATCCCTTTCTGCTGGGGGCAAACTCCACTCCCCCTTCCATAAACCCCAATGCCCCCATTGCTGAGCTGCTGCACTGCTGCCCAGTCCTCCATGCTGTGACATCTGTAAACCCTGCCCCCGTTGCCCCCACTGTCCAATTATGTGCCCTCCCAGCCCCATTGCTTCACTCCCATCCTTTCCCACAGCTCCCAATACCCCCACTCCTTGCCCTTCCACAAACCAACGGCTTCCTTCACCCCATAACCCACCTCATGGTTTCCCATTGCCCCATATCCACCCACTCGCACCCCATCTCCCCTCTGGCTGCCCCCCCAGCAGGGACTGGCCCCAACCCCACATCACAGAGCTGCTGGCTGGGTGCCGAAACCATGCCCTGGCAGCAGGTGCCGGCAGCAGACAGGTGGCTGGTAGGATTAGCACTAACGAGTCGTTTCATAATGGGGTCAAGAGGCCACAGGGGGGAGGGGGAGACAGGACAGGGGGACTTCAGCAGCACACCTGGGCCTGCCAGGACCCCAGCACCCAGTGTGGCACTCCATTCCGGTGTCACACCACTGCCCTAATCCCTGCAGCCCTAGGCAGGTTCCATGTTCATGGATGCTGCTCACTTTTAATGACACTATTAAAGGAATAGGGCTGGGGTGGGGGGTGGCAGCGGATGGGGCTGAGGACCTGGATCCTTTTTGATTTTTGACCCTGCCTGGATTTGGGGGGTCTTGCTTGCATTTTGAGTCTTTTTTGGGCTGGGAGTTCTCTTTGGACAGGGAATCCTGATTGTGCTCCTCTATTTGTGCTCTCCTATTTGGTTTGGGGTTCTGTTTGGCTCTGGATCCTGTCTGGATGTGGGGTCTTGTTTGGGCTCTGGGTCCTTTTTGCTTTTGGGTCCTATCTAGGTTTGGGAGTTTGTATTTTGGGTTCTGTTTGGGATGAAGGCCTGTTTGGTTTCGGGTCCTGTTTGGGCTCAGGATTCTTTTGGGGCTCTGGGTCTTGTCTGGATGTGGGATCTTGTTTGGGCTCAAGGACCTGTTCTGTTTTGGGTCCTGAGTTCAGGGGTCCTGTTTATATTTTGAGTCCTGGTTAGTCTTGGGGACCTGTTTGGTTTTGGGTTCTGTTTGGACTCAGGATCCTTTTGGGGCAGGGGATACTGTTTGGGCTCTGGATTCTGTTTGGGTTCTGTTTAGACTCTGGGTCTTGGCTGGATGTACGGTTTTCTTTGGGCTCTGGGTCCTTTTTGATTGTGGATCTTGTCTGGTTTTGGGAGTCCTGTTTGTATTTTGGGTCCTGTTTGGGCAGAGAGTTCGGCTCAGGTTCAGAGTTCTGTTTGGCTTTAGATCCTGTTTGCACTCAGGATTTGTTTGAGTTGCAGTCCTGCTTGGGCTCGGGGTCCCGTTTGGGTTCCTCACACAGATGCTGCAGGAGGGACAGATGCAGTTCCTGACACTAGTGGGGACAGCGCCATGATGCTCAGGGATCCTGTAAAGAGAGAAGATTGAGCATGGCTGAACCCTGCTCCACAGGGCCCCGCGGCCATCACCAAACCGTGGCGGCAGCCCCACACCTGGCATACAACTCCAACATCCTCGCGATGGGTGCAGTCATGATATCCCCATGCACGGTGTGCGCAGTCCTGCAGGCTCTTCTCCTGCCCTCGGCATCGGACGTCATCCAGCCAGATGTGCCCAACGCCGGGCCCGAAACGTGGCCGCTTCCCATCCATGCCCTGCGCCTCACCGCAGCCCAGCTCCCGGCACACCACAGCCGTGTTGGCCCCTCTCCATCCGTCATCGCACACTGTGCCCCAGCGCCCGGCTCGCTGCACCTCCAGCCGCCCCGCACAGCGCCTGGGCCCCCCGGCCAGCCGCAGCCTGAAGGGCTCTGCGGGGACACAGCGGTGACACGAGGTCTTGATGTGACGCGGGCCTCACTGTGTCCCCTCCAGGCCCTGCCATGACACCAGGCTTCATCATGTCCCCTCCAGGCCCCACCATGATGCCAGGCCTCAGTGTGTAGACACCAGGCCCTGCCATGATAGGCCTTGCTGTGTCCCCACCAGGCCCTGCCATGACACCAGGCCTCACTGTGTTCTCACCAGGCCTCAGTGTGTCCCTATTAGGCCCCACCATGACCCCAGGCCTTGATGTCCTCACCAGGCCTCACTGTGTCCCCTCCAGGCCCTGCTGTGACACCAGGCCCCGCCATGACACCAGGCCTCACTGTATCCCCACCAGGCCCTGCTGTGACCCCAGGCCTCCCTGTGTCCTCTCCAGACCTCACTGTCTCTCTCCCACCATGACACCAGGCCTCACTGTAACCCCATAAGGCCTCACTGTGCCCCCCCCGTGCCCTGCCATGACCCCAGGCCCCGCCACATCCCCATTAGGCTGCGAAGCCCGGTCCTGCCCCACGCTCACCCTCGCAGTTGACAGCAGCCACGTGGTTGGACGGACAGGACGCAGCGTCACCTGGCTGCAGCTCGCAGTGCTCCAAGTCCAGCTCCTGCCCTGCACACAGCACCTGACGCAAACCCACTGTGTTCGCCTCAGCCATGGGTGGGCTGCAGGGCACCGGGACGGCACGGGGGCGGCCGCAGCCCAGCTGGCGGCACAGGACGCGGGCAGCTGCAAGGTCCCAGCCCACGGCACAGACCGAGGCCCAGGAGCCAGCCTGCAGCAGCTCCACGCGGCCCTGGCATCGGGAATGGCCGCCGGAGAGCTGGGCAGGCACTGCTGGGGAGAGCGGGAGAGTGAAGTGTGGCCTTCCCAGTGCAGCACCAACCTGACCAGCACAGCCCCAGTCTGCCCAGTGCGGCACCAGTTTGTTTAGTACAGCACCCAGTCTGCTCAGCACAGTCATAGCGAAGCCCCAGCCCAGCTCCAGCATGCCCAGTTCAGCCCCACACTGCCCAGTTCAGTCTCAGTCTTCTCAGCTCAGTCACAGCAAAGCCCAAGCACAGCCCCACTCTGCCCAGTTCAGCCCCAGTCTGTTCAGCATGGTCCCAGCACAGCCCCACTCTACCCAGCTCAGCCCAAGACTGCCTAGTTCAGTCCCAGTTTGCCCTGCTCAGTCTCAGTATTCCCACCACACTCACAGTGTGCTCAGCACAGCCACAGCACAGCTCCTGTCTGGGTCTCTGGGTCTCACTCCCAATCTGCCTCATTTGGCCCCAGCTCGGCATCAGCACAGCCCTGGTCTTCCTATCTTGGCCCTTGTCTGTCCAATTTGGTCTCAGTCCGTCAAGTACAGCACCAGCATGGCCCAGTCTATCCAGAACAGCCCCACTACAGCTCCAGTGTGCCCAGCTTAGTCCCGGTGTGCCCAGAACAGCCCCATCACAGCTGCAACACAACCCCAGTCTGCCCAGCACAGTCCCAGTATGGTGACCCAGCATAGTCCCTGTGTAGCCTGTCTGTCCTGTACAATTCTAGTCTGCCCAGTAGGCTGCCCAGTACTGTTCCAGTCTGCCCAGTTCAAACCATCCCACCTGTTGCCCATGCCCTGGTGCCTGCCCATCCAGCAACTGCTGTCCCCCAGGCACCCAAATGGTATATGTGGGGACATCCCAGGACACCCAGTGACCCCCCGTGATGCCCAGTGACCCCTGCTGACATCCAGGACACTCAATGACCCCAAGTAACACCCAAGTGAACCCCACTGACACCCAGTGACACCCAACATACCAGAACCAATCACGGCACCGCAGCACAAAGCTGAGGGGGAGAGAAGTAGGAGTTGGAAAGAGACAGAGACATCCACAGACCATCCAAGACCCTCAGGACCCCCCAGCCCACTGACACACAACATAAAATGTTTTCCCCCCAGTTCTGTGTGCCCCCAGCTCCATACCCCTCCTTTTCCTTCAGTTCTGCCCACCATGCATCCCAGCTTTGCCTCCCCATGTGCCTCCACCTCTGTGCCCCTCATTTGCCTCCCATCTCTACACCTTCCATTTCCCCCAGCTCTGCACCCCCCATGTCCTCACCCAGGCACAGTCCAAGGCTACGCAGCCCCCCCATGCTGGCAGCAGGGCCTCCCCAGCCACTGGGGCCACCCTTTTAACAAGGGGGCCGCGGAGGGGGGGCAAGGGGAGGAATCGAAAGCTGAGAGCAGGAACCCCGCAGCAGCCAAGCAGGCGCCAGGATGGGATGAGTCCTTCTCTCCCTCTCTCTCACCTCCCCTCCCCCTCTTTCACCATCTCCTCCTTCTCCTTCACCTTCTCTCTCCCCCTCCCCCTCCCCCTCTATCTTCTACCCCCTCTCCCCT